GGGTGGGGGGGAACGCATGCGGGAGGTAGCACTGGGGCCGTTGGTGGAGCTCCCTATGGGGCCACGAAACGCTCTACTGGGTGGGTGAAAATGCCAAATTTGGTTTTTCGGGACGCGCGCGGGCGGTCCCACTGGGGGCTTCGGTGGAGCTCCCTATGGGGCCACGGCGCCCTGTAATGGGTGGTTGAAAATGCCAAGTCGGGCTTTCGGGACGCATGCGGGCGGTGGCACTGGGGGGCTTCGGTGGAGCTCCCTATGAGGCCACGAAGCGCTGTACTGGGTGGGTGCAAGATGCCAAATTTGTTTTTCGGGGCGCATGCGGACGGTGGCTCCCTGTGGGGCCACGAAGGTCTGTACTGGGTGGGTGAAAATACAACATTGGCTGTGTGGGACGCATGCGGGCGGTCCCACTGGGGGCTTCGGTGGAGCTCCCTATGGGGCCACGAAGCGCTGTACTGCGTGGGTGAAAACGCTAAATTGGGTTTCCGGGACGCATGCGGACGGTGGCACTGGGGCCTTCGGTTGAGCTCCACATGGGGCCACGAAGCGCTGTAGTGGGTGAGGCTGAAAATGCCAAATTGGGTTTTCGGGACGCATGCTGACGGTGGCACTGGGGGCTTCGGTGGAGCTCCCTATGGGGCCACGAGTGGGTGAAAATGCCAAATTGGGTCTCCGGGACGCATGCGGACGTTGGCGCTGGGGAGTACGGCTGAGCTCCCCATGGGGCCACGAAGGGTTTTACTGGATGAGCGAAAATGCCAAATTGGGTCTTCGGGACACATGCGGGCGGTGGCACTGGGGGCTTCGGTGGAGCTCCCTATGGGGCCACGAAGCGCTGTACTGGGTGGTTGGAAATGCCAAATTGGGCTTTCGGGACGTATGCGGACGGTCCCACTGGGGCCGTCGGTGGGGCTCCCTATAGGGCCACGAAACGCTGCACTCGGTGTGCGGGACGCATGCGGACGGTAGCACTGGGAACTTCGGATGGGCTCCCTTTTGGGGCCACGAAGCGCTGTACTGGGTGGGGGGGAACGCATGCGGGCGGTAGCACTGGGATCTTCGGCGGAGCTCCCTATGGGGCCACGAAGCGTTGTACTGGCTGGGTACGAAGCGTTGTACTGGGTGGGTGAAACGCAAGGAGGAAGGAGGAGGGGGCCACGAAACGCTGTACTGGGTGTGTGGGACGCATGCGGAGGGTAGGACTGGGAACTTCGGTGGGGCTCCCTATGAGGCCACGAAGAGCTGTCTGGGTGGGTGAAACGCAGGGAGGAGTGAGGAGGGGGCCACGAAACGCTATACTGGGCGTGCGGGACGCATGCGGACGCAAGCAGTGGGACCTCCTGTGGGGCTCCCTATGGGGCCACGAGGCGCTGTACTGGGTGGGTGAAACGCAGGAGGAGGGAGGGTGCCACGAAACGCTGGACTGGGTGTGCGGGACGCATGCGGACGGTAGCACTGGGACCTTCGGTGGGACTCCCTATGGGGCCACGAAACGTGTTAGGGTTGTGCTGAAACGGGCGACGAGATGATGGTGATCAGGAGGGAGGAGGGGGAGGAGGAGAAGGAGGAGGAGGAGGAGGAGGAGGAGGAGGAGAGCGCGGGGACCGTCTCTTCAAAACGAGGACCCAACACCACAAGATGGTTGGGACAACAAGAATTCTCGGAATTCCTGTTCTTCCCACTTGCCATGCCTGGGCCGTGGGCCAGAACTTTCCTGGGCGCAGGCCATGGACTGTTGGAACGCCTCTGGGTGGCTTTTTGGCGGCGTCTTGGGAGCCTCTCGGGGCCTCTTGGGAAGCTCTCGGTGCCTCCTGGGGGCCTCCCGGGAGTCTCGGAAGGCAGGCATCTGGGGCGGCGCCGCGAGAGCCTCTGCGAGAACCTCGGAGCCATCTTGAAGCAAAGCGGTCGAACCTTTCCGTGAGTCTTCTGGGAGTCTCCGCAGGCATCTGTGGGGCGCCTCGAGAGCCTCTGGGAGAACCTTGGGGCCACCTTGGGGCAAAGCGTTCGTAAGGCTTGGGGGGGCCCTCTCTTGTCCCTTTCTTAGTGAGCGCGCGCGCCGACGTTCTAGCTAGGCTGGACTGGTGAACTCATAGGAACTCGATGTTCACAATGGTTTCAGGGACAGCCAAGAGGGCACGAAGACGACCCAAGAGACTGCTAAGACAGCGTCAGAGAGTTCAACAGCACTCCCGACAAATCTGTGCAATGTGACCCCAAAGTCTTGATGGGGCTCGGGCCGAACTTGAATAAAACTGGGGCCTCCTAACATGTGGCGCGCAAGGACCAGGCCAGGGGGGGCCGAAGAAGCGTCAAGGAACTCTTGGGAGGCAGTTTGAAGACCGCTTGGGGACTGTTTTGGTGGCTCTTGGAGCCACTTTGGGGCCTCTTCGGGGCTCTTGGGGGCCTCTTCAGGCTCTTTGGAGGACTCTTGGGGCCTCCTGGGGGCCTCTTTGGTGTGGAAAACCAGGATTGTACAGTTGCTTTCCCCCTGTTGGGCGGCTTTTTGGGCCATCTTGGAGCTCTTTTGGGCTACCTCAAGGCGCTCTCGGGCCGTCTTGGGGCCTTCTTGGCCCGTCTTGGAGCCATCTTGGGGGCTCGTGAGCGATCTTGGGGCGGTCTTGGGGGCCTTTTTCGGCCGTCTTGGAGCGGTGGAAGCTCGAAAACGCGAGAAGCCTAAACACCGCAAAACAACACACGAACATCAACGATGTTGGCCTCTTCGGGCGCTCCTGGGACCCCTCTCGGAGCTCTCTTGGGGCCTCTTGGAGGCCTCCTGGGAGCCTGGAGAGCCATATGAAGTCTGTCTTGGGCTGCTTTGGAGCGTCTTGGGCCGTCCTTTCGCGTTCTGGGGGCTCCTTGGGGGCGTCTTGGGCCGTCCTTCGGCGTTTTGGGGCCTCCCTGGGAGGCCCGGGGGCGCAGTACCGGGAGTTGCCCCCAGATGTCATGCATGTGGGGGACGCTCCCCAGGGGTGGGGAGCGTATTTGCTTCTATTATAGATGTATAGAAATATAGAAAAAATAAAGAAAGATAGAGAGAGAGAGAGAGAAAAAAGAGAGAGAGAGAGAGAGAGAGAGAGAACAAAAAACAGAAAGAGAGAGACAGAGAGAAGGAGAGGAAACGAGAGAAAGATCTATACACATATATATATATAGATATAGAGAGAGATAGAGAAAAAAAAGAAGAGACAGGCAGGCAGAGAGACAGAGAGCACTTGTCCACTCCCTGTCGCTCTCCCCTAAATGTCCCCTCACTCTCTCTCCCCCTCCTGCAGCTCCTACTCCTCCAGCCCTTCCCCGCCACCATCCTGCCCCCGCTCACCCTCCCCAGCGAGTTCGCTCAAGCGCGCTGGAGCGCAAAGTGCGCGCGGCGTCAGGATTCGCAACCCTCGAAGTGTCAATGCGGAAGTGGGCCACGCCTGGCATGAAACTCTCGGGGCCACCAGGTTCAGCGGAAACGACGGCGTGGCTGAGAGTGAGAGTAGCGAAGGAGGGTCGCTGGCAGAGTGGTGAGAGAGGCGGGTAGTCTACGGCCAGACCTGGGACAGAAAAACAGACTTCAAGAGCATGAGACCCCCCGCCGGCAAAAGTGAAGAATGTTCCAGGGTGCCCTCCCCCAGGATGCATAACAGCATCCAACAAGCATGAAGGACACTAGAGGACCCTCTCCGAACAAATCTCGAACCTGAAAATTGCCTCGGTCCGACCGCATCGGCCACACGCAAGCGGTGACTCTGGGCACGAATTGGGCAGCTGGCGAGCGGCCTGCCGCTCGCCGCGCGCGATGCGGCAGCGGGCTGGTCTGCGTGCCTGAGCGTGGCCCCTCGGGGCCACCCCGAGAGCCGCGCAGCAGAGGTCACTCGGGCGAGCGCTCACTATCACGAGGCTCGGGAGCGGCCAAGAAGGGGGTGTCCAAGACAGGGGGGGTGCAAATCATGACCGGCGGCACGTGCGCGGCCCAGCGGGGGGGGGCAAAGAGGTCATGAAACAAGAAGAGGCGCCATGAGATCTGGGGAAATATCATGGCACCCGCCATGATATCCACCCCCCCCTAGTCATCACCCCCCTCTTTGCCGCCCCCGAGAGGTAGCGCCACAACACACACACACACACACACACCAGAGGCACAAACACTTTTCTCGTCAGCGGCGAGGCGGAGAAGCTGCTCCAGCGGGTGGCGATGCGGGGCGACCGTAAAGGCGAAATGGCAGGCGTGCAAGAGGTGGGGGAAAGGACTAGGGCGGCCGCGCGGAGGACAGGAGGAGGGGAGACACTCAGACGCGGAAGATGCACACACACAACATCGAAGGACCGAACATATTCATTGGGATAGCCCTGGATCCCACCAGACATGCCCGGAGGCCGCATCATGGGACACGTGTGCACGTGCTTTCGGACGCGGGTTGGGGCCACCACTGATCACAACGAGCGCGACCCAAACCAGGGGTATTGATGCTGAGGAAATACGACGCGCAATGCAACACAAACAAAGACAATCGAATGCAACGCATGGGACTGCCCAGCAACACCTATCACCACGCCGCCCAACATAATATGAGATACTACGACATCCCATCCTAGTGTTGGCTAGCATGCAAATTCGTACTATTGTAGATCAGGGTACCGCACAACATAGCATTGAAACGCATCGCGCAGCATATCATGACACAACACAGCATGGCACTGCACAGTTAATATGGCTCACCACATATTGCAATTCCGTACTCGACACAACACATAATTATATAATGTATCATCGTATGTACAGAAATGGCTGACCAATCATCACAAAGTCCACCCCCACAAAAACCTCACACACCACCATGATAGCCTCTCTAAGAACAACAAACTGGGAAACATATATCGTTTCAAAATTCCGTTATTCGGCTTTCCGCGTGGCCTCTTGAATCACAGAATGCCACCTCCAAATATTCCGACAATCCCCCCGCGCTCACTGGCACAGATCAGGGCAGAAGGGCCCAGAGCACAAAAAGGCTCAACGCCACCTTCAAGATCGTCTTGTTGCGTGCGCTCTCCGCGAACACGAGCTCCACTGCGCCGTCGCTCAGGTTCTTAATGCTGGAGAAGACTCCTGGGCGGCGCGATCGGGACCCGCACACGCGATCGAAGACGCAGATGTGAGACTGCCCGAAGCCCCCCCAGTCTGCCAGACCCGTGCGAAAGACAGCTCACCTCACGGTGCACAGGCTGCACGAAGGCAACGTCCGAAAAAAATCTGCTTCGTGCTGCATGCAGCCTGTGAGAAGTTACGACCCCCTCTCCGCCACTGTTCTCTCCGTGCCGTTCTGCTGGCAACCCAGCAGAACTTACGATTAGGTCGGGCATGTCCCCCTACAGGAAGGTTGGGAGGAATAATCAGAACTATTCCAAACATACACCAACATAATCAAAACAAGATAATACAAACAAACCGTCCCCATACTACTTTTTAACTAGCTTGAACACTCCTCCTGTAGAGGGACACGCCCGACTTCAACGTACGACCCTCCTCTTAGGCCGCCCCTGGACCAAGAAAATAATCACCACTGCCGCGGGGGCGACGCTCGCCACAAGATGTGCACATTATGTGTATTTGTAAAATCGGAAATTCGGCTCCTACTTCCCACATCAGTGCTTGCGCTGAAGGGGTCCTAGTGTAGATGCCTCCTAGATGGGGTCCGAGTGGATGGGGTCGGAGGATCGCGCCGCATCGCCGATACATCGGCGAAGCATCGCCGATACATCGGCGGTGCATCGGCGATGCGCTGGCGACGTCGGCGATGCATCGGCGACGTCGGCGTGGAGAACATCAGCCCCACATCGAGCCGCATCGCCGATGCGGCGCGATCCTCCGACCCCATCTGCTCCGACCCCATCTGGGAGGCCTCGACGGTGGGCATCCCCCCAGGGGCCGCCCCTGGACGGCCCAAGGGCCGTCGGGGAGGTCCCCACGGGCCCAGGGCGGCGGGAGGCTGCCGCCCCCCCCGCGCTCGCAGTGAGGTCCGACGCTGCGGAAAGCGAAACGTCATGGCCAGAGCCTTGAACGTAGCGATAGTTTTAAGTCGGGCGCGTCCCCCTACAGGGGGATTCCCGACGAAAAATGAAGAATACTCGAACCATGTTCCAACATGATCAAACATTAGCCTGGCGAAGGACCCAACCATATGCAGTTGTGAATGCCGCAATTGTGCTGGGTGGTGGCGGACGCATGCGGGCGGTGCCACTGGGACCTTCGGTGGAGCTCCCTATGGGGCCACGAAGCGCTGTACTGGGTGGGTGAGACGCGGTCAGCAAGGGCTGTGCTGCGTGGTGGCGGACGCATGCGAGCGGTGCCACTGGGACCTTCGGTGGAGCTCCCTATGGGGCCACGAAACGCTGTACTGGGTGGGTGAAACGCAGGCAGGGAACAAGGGCTGTGCAGGGTGGTGGCGGACGCATGCGGGCGGTGCTGCTGAGACCGTTGGCGGAGCTCCCTTTAGTGGCGGAGCTCCCTGTACTGGGTGGGTGAAGCGCAGGGAACAAGGGCTGTGCTGGGTGGTGGCGGACGCAAGCGGGCAGTGCCCCTGGGACCTTTTGGTGGAGCCCCCTTATGGGGCCACGAAGCGTGCGAGGGGTGTGCCAGAATGGGGTGTGGAACCGCATGCCAGCGCAACCACTGGGGCCTTCGGTGGAGCTCCCTATGGGGCCACGAAGCGTGTGAGGGGTGTGCCATAATGGGGGGTGGAACCGCATGCGAACGCAGCCACTGCGGCGTTCGGTGGAGCTCCCCATGGGGCCACGAGACGTGTGAAGGGCGTGCCGAAAAAAGTGTGTGGAACCGCATGCGAGCGCAGCCACTGGGGCCTTCGGTGGAGCTCTCTATGGGGCCACGAACTGTGTGAGGGGTGTGCCGAAATGAGGGTGAGAACCACATGCGAGCGCAGCCACTGGGGCCTTCGGTGGAGCTCCCCATGGAGCCACCCACGAAGCGTGTGAGGGGTGTGCCGAAATGAGGGGTGGAACCGCATGCGGGCGCAGCCACTGGGGCCTCCGGTGGAGCTCCCTATGGGGCCACGAAGCGTGTGAGGGGTGTGCCAGAATGGGGGGTGGAACCGCATGCGGGCGCAGCCACTGGGGCCTTCGGTGGAGCTCCCTATGGGGCCACGAAACGTGTGAGGGGTGTGCCAGAATGGGGGGTGGAACCGCATGCGGGCGCAGCCACTGGGGCCTTCGGTGGAGCTCCCTATGGGGCCACGAAACGTGTGAGGGGTGTGCCAGAATGGGGGGTGGAACCGCATGCGGGCGCAGCCACTGGGGCCTTCGGTGGAGCTCCCTATGGGGCCACGAAACGTGTGAGGGGTGTGCCAGAATGGGGGGTGGAACCGCATGCGGGCGCAGCCACTGGGGCCTTCGGTGGAGCTCCCTATGGGGCCACGAAACGTGTGAGGGGTGTGCCAGAATGGGGGGTGGAACCGCATGCGGGCGCAGCCACTGGGGCCTTCGGTGGAGCTCCCTATGGGGCCACGAAACGTGTGAGGGGTGTGCCAGAATGGGGGGTGGAACCGCATGCGGGCGCAGCCACTGGGGCCTTCGGTGGAGCTCCCTATGGGGCCACGAAACGTGTGAGGGGTGTGCCAGAATGGGGGGTGGAACCGCATGCGGGCGCAGCCACTGGGGCCTTCGGTGGAGCTCCCTATGGGGCCACGAAACGTGTGAGGGGTGTGCCAGAATGGGGGGTGGAACCGCATGCGGGCGCAGCCACTGGGGCCTTCGGTGGAGCTCCCTATGGGGCCACGAACGTGTGAGGGGTGTGCCAGAATGGGGGGTGGAACCGCATGCGGGCGCAGCCACTGGGCCTTCGGTGGAGCTCCCTATGGGGCCACGAACGTGTGATGGGTGTGCCAGAATGGGGGGTGGAACCGCATGCGGGCGCAGCCACTGGGGCCTTCGGTGGAGCTCCCTATGGGGCCACGAAACGTGTGAGGGGTGTGCCAGAATGGGGGGTGGAACCGCATGCGGGCGCAGCCACTGGGGCCTTCGGTGGAGCTCCCTATGGGGCCACGAAACGTGTGAGGGGTGTGCCAGAATGGGGGGTGGAACCGCATGCGGGCGCAGCCACTGGGGCCTTCGGTGGAGCTCCCTATGGGGCCACGAAACGTGTGAGGGGTGTGCCAGAACGGGGGGTGGAACCGCATGCGGGCGCAGCCACTGGGGCCTTCGGTGGAGCTCCCTATGGGGCCACGAAACGTGTGAGGGGTGTGCCAGAATGGGGGGTGGAACCGCATGCGGGCGCAGCCACTGGGGCCTTCGGTGGAGCTCCCTATGGGGCCACGAAACGTGTGAGGGGTGTGCCAGAATGGGGGGTGGAACCGCATGCGGGCGCAGCCACTGGGGCCTTCGGTGGAGCTCCCTATGGGGCCACGAAACGTGTGAGGGGTGTGCCAGAATGGGTGTGGGAGGGGGAGGAGGGGGGAGGAAGGGGAGGAGGAGGAAGGAGGAGGAAGGAGGGGCGACGTCTCTTCAAAACGAGGACCCAACACCACAGGATGGTGAGGAAAAATCAAAAAATAGTCCCCGGACCACATTTTTGCTGTTTTTGAATGCTCCCCCTGTAGAAGGACAAGCCCGACTTAATAATAGTTCCCCAATCAGTTTTTGCACTGGAGGGCTCCGAGCGGAAATCCCACCAGCCCTTCGGGCGTGAGTGGTTTAGCGAGCTCTCTCTGTCCTCAACCCCCCTTCTTCCCCTTCGGGGAGGGGTTTACCCCTCCACAATTATACAATATGAATACTACTCTCCCACTTCCCCTGATGGCGTCCGGAAGATGTTCGGCACCCCCCCGCGTACTGTTTTTTTACACACAGGATTCCCCGGAGTTGGGTTTTCGCTTGTGTTTTTTTCTAAAATGCTGCTCTCGCTGAGGCGCTGGCCTAATTTTCGGGCTCCCGCTCCTTCCGAATCGTGTTCCCGCTGCAGCGCTGGCCTCATTTCCGCGCTCCCGCTCGTTCCGAATCGTGCTCCCGCTGCAGCGCTGGCCCAATTTCTGCGCCTCTCGTTGTTCCAAAACGTGCTCCCGCTGCAGCGCCGACGTTTTCGATTCTTTTTAAGAAGCCCCAAATCTAGAAAATGATCCCCGGCAAAAACATTGGAGGTGATTACACATCCGGTGTCGATTCGTTGATTTTTGGGGCCGCAGAAAGCCCCCCCCCTTTTGGGCGGCGTCCCGTCTTCGTCGCCGGTCGTCCTCATCGTCGTCGTCGTCGTCGTCGCCGCCGTCGTCGTCGTCGTCGTGGTTGTCGTCGTCGTCGTCGTCTTCGTCGTCGTCGTCTTCGTTTTCATCGCGCCGTCGTCCTCCTCCTTTCCCTCTTAGGTAACAGGGTCAGATGCGAAGCCCGATTCGGTGAGAGGACAATGAAGTAGCTCAATGGGAAGGGATGGGAGGGAGGGGTAGGATGTCAGATGTTGACGCGAGCGCACCTAGCTTGCCCTCCCCCCGCCCCCTGGGCCTGGAGAGGGGGCCCCGCGGGTCGTCAGGGGGGTAAATTTCGACTCCTGGGAGGGCTAAAAAACGACGACCCTCACGAGGATTCTGGCCCCGACGGGGGGGCGGAGATAAGTCCCTCTCCTCTTCTGTGACGCCAAAAACATTGATTTTACTATGGTTTTGGCCCCATTTTGGCCTTCTGAGGGGGCAGCGCTCATCGTCCTTCATAGCAAAACCATTGATTTTACGAAGGTTTTGGCCTCATTTTGTCCTTCTCAGGGGGCAGCTCTTCTTTGCGCTTCTGCGGAGGTCGCAAGAGGCCCCAAGATGGCCCCAAGAAGCCCCCAGGAGGCTCCCAAGAGGCCTCCAAGAGGCCCCCCAGAGGCCCCCCAGAGGCCCCAAGAGGCCCCCAAGAGGCCCCCAAGAGGCCCCCAAGAGGCCCCAAGAGGCCCCAAAAGGGCCCCAAGAGGCCCCCAAGAGGCCCCCAAGAGGCCCCCAAGAGGCCCCAAGAGGCTCCAAGAGGCCCCCAAGAGGCCCCACGAGGAGCCCGAACGACTCACACCAGGACGAGGGGCCCGAACGACTCACACCACGAAGAGCCCGAACGACTCACACCACAAGGAGGGGCCCGAACGACTCACACCAGGACGAGGGGCCCGAACAACTCACACCACGAGAAGCCCGAACGACTCACACCAGGACGAAGAGCCCGAACGACTCACACCACGAAGAGCCCGAACGACTCACACCAGGAAGAAGGGCCCGAACGACTCACACCAGGACGAGAAACCCCAAACGACTCAAACCACGAGGAGCGCTTTCTCTCCCTCCTCCTCCGCCTCGTCCTTCTCCCGCTCCCCCCACAAGGAGGATGTACAAGGAGGCGGGAGGAAGGAGGAACAGGGGAGATATGCGGGGCCAAGCGGACACACGCCTGAAAAACACGACTGTCGGCATGCTTCGCAAGAGTTGCTGTTGTGAGATGGGCTGGTGGGGATACGCGAAGCGTAAAGAATTGAAAGATTTGAGGAACGTGTCCCGCCGATTTTGGTGGCCGGCCGGGTTCCGTTCCTGGTCATTGGTTCCGGGCCGATTTCGGTGGGTTCTGGGCTCCCGTGTTCTAACTCGATCTCCTCATCGATCAAGCCATCCACTGATTGGGGCTTTCCTCTGGTGAAATTTAGCTTCCGGCCTGCAGACCTCTGGACCCTCCAAAGCACGCGCGCTCGCTGGATCTCGCAGGCGCATCGGCGGTTCTCACCCAAGAGAGGTCTGGAGCGGCTGGGAGCAGCACGCTCTCCAGACGGATGAGGCAGAAGCCAACCACCACTGGGCGTGCGCCTATCCCCGAAAGTGCCAGGCCCGAGAAGATGGCAATCTCAGAGGTGCTCCCTCAGACGCCGAGGGGATGCTCGAGAGCGGCGCCGAGATGCGACGATGCCATGATGCCAGTCATGGGGGCGATGATGGTCTCAGAACGGTGCAACGACACTGCACGCAAGACTGGTCAACTGTATGGGCAATGACTCTCGCCCTGGACTCCACGCGTGTGCAGTGCAGAATGCGTGCTGCTACCACGGCCCTCTGTGGGGCCTCTGAGGCGTTGCGGATGTGGGGAGGCGCTGCTGCAAACCCCACGCCCGGACGTGCCGAACTGCGTGTGCATCTTACTGAATTCTGACCGCTCTTCACGGGATGCTCGAAGCAGCGACAGTGCGGCGCACGAGACAGACAGACAGACAGACGCCATGCACAACATAGGTGCGTTGGCAGAAGTTGTGAGACATACTAGACAATTGGGTGAAACGGTAAGCGTGCTAAGCATAAGAGGAGGAGGAGGAGGAGGAGGAGGAGAAGGAGGAGGAGGAGGAGGAGAAGGAGGAGAAGGAGGAGGAGGAGGAGGAAGGGGGCACGAGGTAATGCCGTAACCATTGCGGGACCAGCGCGGCGGGCCCGATATGCCACTCGGGTGCAGCCGCGCGTGCGAGGGCGCCCGGAGGAGCGGCCCGACCAGCAGACGCCCGGGAGTGAGACGCGCGGCCCGTGGGCCTTGCCAGGGCCTGTGTATGGGGTTGGAGTACAAAGGTACAGAACCCCTGATCACAGGGCGTCCCTCGGGCCCAGCCAGGCGCCTGAGGTTTTATGGGCCTCCACGGGCTCTCCTCAGAGGTTCCAGAGGAAGGTCCCCAGGCGTGCTCGCGCTGGGCCCACACCTCACCCATGGTCGTCGCGCTCTTGCTGAAATCAGTCGGAACTACTCCTCAGTCGCGACGCCCACGAGATGCTTTACATATAGGCCGTGTGGGGATTCCACTTTGGCTTCACACCGGCGCCGCCGTCAGAAAAAATCAAATGACTCCTGGACTATCCGAGACGGCTCCAAAACAACTACAAGACTGACGATTACAGGTCAAGAAGCCGTCTGGACAGTCCCAACACGGTCCCAGGCGGCCCCTGAGGGCCCGAAGCGGCACCCAGACGGGCTCAGCACAGCTCCACGACTGGCCCAGGAGACTCGATACTTACTCGAGCTCAGCGCCCGATGAACAAAGTGAGGGGGCGGAGAATGGGGTAGGCTTGGGGAGGCTTGGGGAGGGGGAGAGCTCCTCCTCCTCCTCCTCCTCCTCCTCCTCCTCCTCCTCCTCCTCCTTCCGGGGGCAGGCTGGAGGGCTGGTGATACGCAGGAGCGACCCTCGGCACGAGTGACTTTCGATGCGCGGCCTTCGGATCGCCGCGCGCGATGCGACGGTTGTGGCCTGGGTGCTTGGGCCTGCATGCCCGGGCTCCCCCCGGAAGTCGGGGGAGGACAGACGACCCTAAAGCAAAAAACACCCTTTGGTGACACCAGACTGGAACCAGCGTGTCTGGCCATCGCTCGGACGTCCATTCCCTGTGCTTTTTCCGGTTTCGTGCGTGGCTTTTTCGCCATATGGTCAAGGATGCTCCTCGATGGCCCTCGCCGGGAAAAGAATACACACGTCCGAGCGATGCCAGGGCAGTGTGCAATAATACCCGGGGGAAATATCCACAACATGACAGGACAACCACGGGGGCGATCTCAGCGGTCGCCCCAGGGACCGACTACGAACGGAGTGAAACCAACATGCCAAGAGCAAGGAGGAGGAAAGACGACACCCTTTCGAGAACCGCAAAAGGGTTCGCCTATCGGCTTGGCAGGAAGGGGTGCACGGTTTCCACCAGGGCCGTAGGCGACCCGAGGAGGGAGAGGAGGAGGAGGAGGAGGAGGAGGAGGAGGAGGAGGAGGAGGAGGAGGAGGAGGAGGTGTACGGCGGAGGAGGAGGAGGAGGAAAAGGAGGAGGAGGAGGAGGAGGAGGAGGGGTCGCCTGGGCCCTTCGGAGAAACCCTCCAGGAAGGGGTCCTTTCGGATTCCGAAGAAGGCCGCGCACCAGTCCTCACTCCTGCGAAGGACCACTCCTACATGCAGACGGGCAGTGGGTAGGGGCTGGCACGCCCGAGATGGGCACCGAAAAAAATCGACAGCGGCCGGTGCTGGGTGCACGGTTTCCCCCGGGGCCGTAATTAGGCGACCCGAGGAGGGGGAGGAGGAGGAGGGGGGGGAGGGGGAGGAGGCAAGCTAGGTGCGCTCGCGTCATATCTGACGTCCTACCCCTCCCTCCCATCCCTTACCATGGCGCTGATTTTCTCTATCCGCGGACGCGTGTCGTAGCGGACCTGTGGCTCCGCGCGCGCGTGCGTAGTGGGTGGTGGTGCACGTGCGTGCGTGCGTGCGTGCGTGTGTGCGTGGTGGTGGTGGTGGTGGTGGTGTGGTGTGTGTGGTGTGTGTGTGTGGTGCTGGTGCTGGTGCTCGTGCTGGTGGTGGTGCTGGTGCTGGTGGTGGTTGTGATGGTGGTGGTGGTGGTGGTGGTGGTGGTGGTGGTGGTGGTGGTGGTGGTGGTGGTGGTGGTGGTGGTGGTGGGTGCGGCGGCGCGGTGGTGGCGGGCGGATGGGCGCGCGAGAAAGAGGCCCGCGCTGGGGCGAGAACGCCATCCTGAACGACGGAGGCCAAACACCGATCCGAAAATGAGGCCTACGCTGCAGCGGGAACACGATTCGGAACGATTCGGGAGCAGAAATGAGGCCGGCGCCTCAGCGAGAGCATCACTTTGAAAAAAACGCAGGCGAAAACCCGTTTTCCGGGAATCCTGTGTAAAAAAACAATACGCGGGGGGCGTTCGGCCCGAAAATGACGCCGGCGCCTCAGCGAGAGTCGTTTCCCGGGATTTCCTGGGAATCCTGTGTGTGTGTGTGTGTGTGTAAAAAAAACAATACGCGGAGGGTGCGCGGCCATCACCCGGACGCCATCAGGGGAAGAGGGAGAGTATTTTCATATTGAGTAATTGTAGATGGAGGAGGAGGAGGAGGAGGAGGAGGAGGAGGAAGAGGAGGAGGAGGAAAAGGATGAGGAGAAGAAGGATGAGGAGGAGAAGGAGGAGGAGGAGGGAGGAGGGAGGAGGAGGGAGGAAGAGGAGGGAGGAGGAGGAGGAGGAGGAGGAGGAGGAGGAGGGAGAGGACGGGTCGCCCAAGCCCTTCGGAGAGGCCCTCCGGTGCCGGGCAGGCGACATGTTGTCTTCAGTGGACACCGTCCGCAGCGACACCGACAGCTCAGCCTGGGCAGGAACTGCTGCAATGACGAACCAACAACACACACCCATACCCATAGGGGGGTCGGAGAGGGCTATGGGTGCGTGTTGTCGGCTGGGGGTCCCCGCACGAACGGGAGCGTTCCCCAGAGTCCGACAACCCGCACCCATACCCATAGCCAGTCCTCCTCTCAACGACCCCCCTATGGGTATGGGTCTGTGTTGCTCGCTCGTCATGCAAATCTGCGTGCCATTCTTTCCCGCACCCGTGTCGATCGTGCCGAAGGGGGGCGCCCTCGTCCGAGCCCCCGCGCCGGCCGCCTGCTGCCCGAGCCTGCGCCATCGGTCAGCAAAGGGGAGAGGCTGCGACCTGCGTCTTCACCGGCAGGTGCTTCCCGTCATCCACCAGACCACCACCACGACGAGGCGCCGATTGGAACAATGGACCCCCTGGCGACGGTTTCCTGCGGGGGGGGCATCCTCTGGTCCGCGCGGGAGCCCGTGGCGGAGAGCTGTTGGGAGATCAGCTCGCCTCTCCGATGGCCAGCATCTCGCACTTAGCCCCCTGCCGTATGGGACAGCACTGGCACCTGCCCTCGACGCACTTGTCGCCCAAGGAGCAATCCACTGCAGTCTTGCACACGGCGCTCGCCGTCAAGCTGATCGCGGCGGTCCCCGACGCCGCGAGCGGAAGCAAGACAGCAGCCATCCGCGTCATCGCCAGAATATCAATGTGTCTGGATGCGACGTGAACGTGCAGTCAATATAAAAATGGTTATACGATTGTGGACCTGGACGACTACCTTGATCCAAAATGGCTACGGAAAAACGTCCCGCCGATTTTGGTGGCCGGCTGGATTCTCGGGTTCCCGTTTCCGGGTTCCCGGGTTCCTGCGTATTGGTTCCGGGCCGATTTCGGTGGGTTCTGGGTTCCCAGGTTCCCGGTCGATCTCCTTCTCGATCAAACCATTCACTGATTGGCTTTTTCTCTGGTGTAATGAATTCCCTCACTCACTTCAGCCAAGGCTTCCAGCATGAAAGGGAATCATTCTGAAACGGATGAGCCCGAACCCATGCATTTTTTGTTGCGATTAGGCGGTGGTCAGGTTCGGTGAAGCTCTGCAGCTGCTGGACTGGACTCCCCTCGAACTCGTCAAAGGTCCTTCTGGCCCTTTAAGATCAGCCCACAAAACCATCACGGACTGCGCTGGTCTTCAGTGTCCCAAGAAGTTCCAAAATGTGCCCCAACATGACACAAAGCAGCTCCCCAAAGTGGTTCTAGACCACCATGGCCTCCACGATCGCCCCGTTGTAGATCGAAGAGGACGTGAGAGGATTTAATAACCTCCGCGGAGCGCGCTGGAAATACAAACGACGTTGAGCACCACGAGATTGAGGCTACCATGCCACGCCCGCACTATTCTGCTCCACGTGGCCCTACGATGGCCTCGACATGCTTCCAGAAAATTTCAGTGGGCCCGCCTACACCCCATTCTGCCTAAGAGGTTCCCAATGTGTCACCGATTCAGCCTCGGGACGGATTCCAGCTCCACGCAGCCGTGGGACTCCCTGAGTCTGTCCCACAGCACTCCCATGGACGTCAAGACAACATCCATAAGCCCCATACGCGGCTCTGGAACGACCCAAAAAGGCCCCAAGAAAGCCCGCAAACGGCCCCATCAAAGATGCCGTCCGACTCCTCATCCGAAGCGGATCTCAACTTGCCTCTCGGAGGGTTCAAGCATACAAGGAACAAACTTCAGGACGGCCCGAAGAAGCCCCCCACGATGGCACCACAATGTTTCAAATCAAAGCTATGTCCATATTGGCCACGCGCAAGCGTGCACTGAACGGGGGGCACCCCTGTGAAACCGTCCACTGTGATGTGATGTGATGCGCAATGCGAGCCACACGCCCAGGTGCACGGGCACCTCCCTTGTCAAAGAGCACCTTGAGGGACACCCAACGCCAATCAGCACCATCATCAATCTGAGCGCATCGTGTAGTAAACGTCCACGGCCTTTCAAATGGGCTGGGTGAGCAAACTGAAATTTGGATCAAGGCACCGTCGCTCACTTCAGCCGTTGCCTTTGGTACGGTCAGGGAAATTATTGGTGAGGTGATTGCGAACGAATAGAGCTTTATGATTGGGTAGGTGGGCGCGTTTGACTCAACATCTTGGCAACACAGCAGACTCGACTACATAATGGTCTATAGCACTCCCCTTTACCCTACCCGAATGTAAAATACTGCCATCGACTCCAAATATTCTTCTTTGGGAAAGATGCTTATGTTCTTTCGCTCTGCCCGGCGGGGCCCGGTGCACGTGTCCACAACTAGACTGATTACAAGTTTTTATTTGGATTAGCGACACTTTATTCGACAATTGATTAGATGTCTTACATGGTCCTTGCGCGTTGTTTGACGCAAACTACAAACATGACGCACCAACCCGGGCGCTCGCGAATTACAATCACTTTAGGCGTATCTCTGTGTTTCATGATGATGGTGATGCTGCACTGCATTGTTGAGGAGATGCGCTTATGCGAAACTTGCACGTCTTCCAGAATGCCTGCCCGCACATACCAAAATCATGGGCTGAGGGTTTGCAAGTGGTCGTCGTGCCTCAATGGCGAAGGATTTGCCGACATTGGCATTCATAGAGTTGCGCAAACCTGCATGCTAACATGCTGTAATATTTGCCTTAACGCATGCACATCCGCGCGTGCTCACTGCGGTCAGGTCCTCTGGTATTCGCAGGGGGCTTTGCGCCGCGAAGGGGGTACAGCTTTGTGTTTGGGTGCGCGGGTGGGCTTGTTGCAACTTATCGAAAGCGTGTGGCCTCCAATCTACTGAGCTTCATCGTGATCTACATCACTGTGCTCGTATCTGCCGTGCCCTACTGCCTACTGTGCATTTGGTACGCCCTTCTGCAGCTTGCCGGATTAAGAGAAACGGCAGTTTTTGGGACACATATGGGAATACGTTGACCATTCATTGGGATAGCTGTAGAAAATCATCGGGATATGGACCAGGAGATCGGGCCAATTATGGCTGACAGTAAGAACATCTATACAACTCCGCTGGCCCCACAAAGATCTCGCAATGACCCGGAAGCCGCTCCGGAACCCCAAAACGCCTCGAGAACCTCCCCTGGAGGACTCCACGACGTCCCAAGGGGAGAGCCCGCCAAACGGACCGCAAACAGTCCCAGAACTGCCCCACTGCCCCCGGTTTGCCCGGCATCGGCCCCGCAGTCGCCGAGGCAGAGGCCTTTATGGGGGGCAGTGGTTGGGGGGGAGCCCGCCGGGGAGAGGTCCTGGCCCCTGACGTTGCCCCGCCTGCCGAAGCAACCTTGCGGGCGAGGGGCGAGCCCGCGAGCACGAGCGTGTGGTGTCAGCGCCCCTCACTCTAATGGGGACTCCACTGACTGATGAAGCCACTCAGGTCATGGTAGTGATAAAATCTGGGATTTAGAAAAACGGTTTGGGGGAAACCGGCTTCTGGGAATACTAAATGATGTTTGTCTTGTTTGGATTAAGCGGCGCAATGTAATAAGTCCGCTTCTCGCTTCAATAAACCATCGCCTTCTCCATAAGTTGTTCTAAGGCTATGTTAGCCAGTGCCTAACGGGTACTTTGGCCAGTGACCCAGCGGACACAACCCTTCCCGATGTGGGCAATGCTGCAATACCACAAAGAGGCGAGCGCGTTCCACTTGTTGCAAAGTGACTAATCGCAAATGGCCTGGATCCGCTGGGGGGATCTACGAGAAATTCCATCGAATCAGACATGTGTTTTTTCGGGCGTTTGCGAGTAGGCATTTTGCGAGTACAGTCAGCCCGTATAGTAAGGATGCGCGATAAGAATGCAAGGGCCTTGGGAACCCATTTCGAAGCTTTCCGACTGGGGCGCGGCCAAGGGAAGTGGCCAAGGATGGACCGAGGAGGCAGGGATGCAAGGGTACCCTTGGGAAGGTTGCCCACCCTTACTATGCGGGTTGACTGTAGTGGAACACGCTCGGTGAAGCCCGAAAGTGGCAACTGTCGGCATCATTCTTGAGTTGGTGCGTACCCGTTGCGGTGCCGCTGGTGGTGCGCGCCGAGGGCGGCGCCAGAGACGCCGCCAGGGGGCTCCTGTCCCGCTCCGAGAGAGCCGCGCGGACCTCCGATCGACCGCAAAGAGAAGAGCGGCAGGCATAGCGTTAGGTCGGGCATGTCCTCCTACAGGCGGAGTTTTGAAGAATTATAAAGAAACATTCAACACATGCTCACAACAATGTGCAAAGGCGAAGGACCAAAACCATGTGCAACTGTGAATATCGCAGTTGTGAGCCCCGCCGTCGGTGGAGCTTCCTGTGGGGCCACGAAACGTATAGGTGTGTGCCGAAATTGGTCCGATGGCGGCATACGAACCCTGCCACTGGGGCCATCGGTGGATTTTTGTTGTGGGGCCACGAAGCGTGTGAGGGGTGTGCTGATTATGGGCGCGGTGGCGCCATGCGAACCCTGCCAGTGGGGCCTTCGATGGAGCTCCCCAGGGGGCCACGAAACGTGTGAGGGGTGTTCCGAATTTGGGTGCGGTGGCGCCATGCGAACCCTGCCACGGGGCCTTGGGTGGAGCTCCGCATGGGGCCACGAAACGTGTGAGGGGTGTGCCGAAATGGGTGCGGTGGCGCCGACCCTGCCACAGGAGCCTCCGGTGGATCTCCCCATGGGGCAGCGAAACGTGTGAGGTGAGTGCCCAAATGGGTGCGGTGGCGCCATAAGAGCTCTGCCACTGGGGCCTTGGGTGGAGCTCCCCATGGGGCCACGAAGCGTGCGAGGGGTGTGCCGGCAGGAGTGCGGTGGCGCCATGCGAACCCTGCCACTGGGGCCCTCGGTGGAGCTCCCTAAGGATCCATGCGAACCCTGCCACTGTGGCCTTCGGTGGAGCCCCCCATGGGGCCACGAAGCGTGTGAGGGATGTGCCGACATAGGTGCGGTGACGCCATGCGAACCGTGCCGCAAGGGCCTTGGGAGGAGCTCCCCATGAGGCCACGAAACGTGTGAGGGGTGTGCCGAAATGGGTGCGGTGGCGCCATGCGAACCCTGCATTGGAGCTTTCGGTGGGGCCCCCCATGGGGCCACGAAGCGTGCGAGGGGTGTGCCGGCAGGAGTGCGGTGGCGCCATGCGAATCCTGACAGTGGGGCCTTGGGTGGAGCTCCCTATGGGGCCGCGAGGCGC